GTTTAGGTCATCCGATCACATAGATAATCCACCAACATTTTATCTCTTGGTGATGCGAGATTAAGTACCAGAACTTGTTAACTCGTGTCAGCCATCTTAATTCTCGGCCTGGAGAGTCTTCACATGTGATCTCATGCTTAACACAAAATCTTGTTCTACTTTTTTTGGTTCAACGGTTCAGGGTGTTCGGGTTAGTTTATACACACCTCGATTAATTCTCTTTTCGTTCTGATCAAAAGTAGACTATTCACGCTGGGACTAGATCCCTCTTGATTTGACTCCAAAAGATTGCAAAAATTCAAATTCATAACGTATAAGTTTACAACTCGTTTTTATTTTCTTTGAGGCTAACACAAAACCTTCTCATGTACAAAGGAGAACTTAATAAATAAGAACAATCCTTATTTTTCAAAGTATTGTCAAACAAATGGATTCATGTCTATACCTATAGAAATTTGAACATTTAAAGCTGTAATCTGAAAAAAGTCACATGGACCATACAAAATAAGCCATAGTGTAATTAGGTATTGTGTAAAGGGTGATGCCTTTAACATCTATGCTAAAATTAGAATAATCCCTTGAGATTTTAGAAATTATAAATTCCATGAGGTTTAAGGTTAACTTAGTACTCTCTGAGTTTTGTGTTATGGATGGCTGTGCTTGGGAAGTTGTGTACTAAGGATAAGTTACATAATTTCATGTCACACATAGGAACAAGTTGTTGCTTCTACAGGAATGAAATAGAGACTCATGAACACCTCTTCTTCAACTGCCCTTGTACTGCCAATGTGTGGAATCGGATTACACATAAATGTGACACAACATTACTTCCAGCCCCTTAGCAGTAACTCATTACCAAATTGGCTGAGGAATGGAAAGGTAAATCACTAAAAGTAATTGTGCTCAAGTTGTGTTTGGCAGTAACTGTCTATGTACTTTGGAGGGAGTGAAACTCTAGAATATTTAGTAACGAATCTAGAGATATAATCTCATTGTAGTGCACAATCAGTAATGTGGTTCGCAATAGATTACTAACTATAACAGTTAGGAACAGCTCTCAAAATGCTAGACTTCTTCACAGTTGGCACCTTCCAGTCCCCCGAACTTGATTCAGATCTTGCTTTGTCTTCTTTTTGTTGTTAAGCTGCCTCTTCTTTGTAATGCTGGCTTTTAATAGCAACGAATCGATCTTAACTCCCATAGACAAGGCTCAATTCCACAAGTCTAACTTGACCCTTATCTCTCACAAAACCTACGATCACCACCATTCAAACCTACCACATCGCATTGTCAAATCAAACTAGCTCCACCAAAGCGAACTCCCAGCACCTCATTATCCTCATAAAGATAACAACCAAATTGATTAAACTACGCACACGAGGGAAAGGGTTTAGTTGTAGCATAGGGTGGTCTGGTTAGGATTAAGGGCGATTTGGTGAAGGTGGGGGGTTGCATGGGATGGGAGAAGGCTAGGTATGTGGCTATGGATAAGGTTCCACAATGGGTGATTGGGTGGGTTCTAACTTGGGTTAGAAGGTTTAGGGAGAGGGAGGTCATGACTTGAGGATTGGGGATAAAGAGTTTGGATGGATTTTGGGATGGGGATATATGACAACGATGTGAGCCTAATTGTAGCCCTTCGTTCTTTTCATCTCTTCGCTTTCATTCAACTGATATTGATTAGTTTTAACCAACGAATAATGGTTAGGTTATAAAATGGTGAAAGGTTATATGATTGAACAAATAAATCATGTGACAGGGCAAACTTAGACAAGAGATCTAGGGTCTTGTCTGAATTCAAGAAGGGTTCCAATTTTCAGTCCAATTGCATCAATGTATTACTCCACGAAAGAGCATGTTTTCCTTTGTCTCTCAATTTACCCTTAAACAAAAGCAAACTATGTTAATTGAATAATGTTGCTTGTACCTAATTAATGGACTCAATGAATTTTAAAAATTAAATCGATAGTGAAACTAAATTCATTAATGCCTTGTGATGATATCTTGAAAATTATGGCCCAAATCCAGTTGTGGACAAGGAGTTGATGAGTTTTATTTAGGTGGTGAGAACTAAGAAATAGCCTAATCAGTAGGGAGAGACACTGGTATTAAGTGGTTCACCCTAACTGGTGGACTAAAGTTATATTCACTGTAATGGAGTCTCTTACTCCTTAAACTTGTATATTGATTCCTTTATTTGAGGTAAGTAACCCTACAGGCGTTGGGCCATTACAAGAAGTTATATTCTAACTCATACATTCTTCGGTGTTTGAACGCCCCAAAGGGGTTTNTCTTACTCCTTAAACTTGTATATTGATTCCTTTATTTGAGGTAAGTAACCCTACAGGTGTTGGGCCATTACAGGAAGTTATATTCTAACTCATACATTCTTCGGTGTTTGAACGCCCCGAAGGGGTTCNCTTGTATATTGATTCCTTTATTTGAGGTAAGTAACCCTACAGGCGTTGGGCCATTACAAGAAGTTATATTCTAACTCATACATTCTTCGGTGTTTGAACGCCCCAAAGGGGTTTCCATTGGCTCCTCTTATCTGTTTGTTGATTCTGTGAGAACCTTCCGTCCTTGCCCTGCAAGTAAAGCCTTGCCAGCCGACGTTACTGTACCCATTGTGCCTGGGTCGTTACTNTGATTCTGTGAGAACCTTCCGTCCTTGCCCTGCAAGTAAAGCCTTGCCAGCCGACGTTACTGTATCCATTGTGCCTGGGTCGTTACTCACCACCACTCCCCGCAGGTAGGTGTGACTGTCATAGGTTTCAGAGATGGTCCCCTTGTCCTTTTGGGACGCGTGACGTGGTGGAATGTGTCTAAGGTTAGGGTTTGATTTCTCCTTTTTTGGCTATCTATCGGCTAGGGCCAGACCACCGGTCCTTTTGGGCTTTGCTTCTTGATACAAGCTGGCTAGGTATGCTTCCCTTGGGTTAACAGGCGAAACAGAATGCTCTGGGCTTATTGAGGTCCATGGCCATAGCGGCACATACTTAAAATTCNCCCGCAGGTAGGTGTGACTGTCATAGGTTTCAGAGATGGTCCCCTTGTCCTTTTGGGCTTTGATTCTTGATACAAACTGGTTAGGTATGCTTTCCTTGGGTTAACAGGCGAAGCAGAATGCTCTGGGCTTATTGAGATCCATGGCCATAGCGGCACATACTTAAAATTCTGTCCCCATCACCTTGAATCCACTACTAATTCAATTTTCATAATGCATAAAATTAAATAGCTTGCTGATGTTAGCAGGGGGAGTGAATGTTCTTAGAGACATTTCAAAAAGAAAAAAGATAAATGAATAGAATAAAGAAAGAAGCTTGAAATGTATTACCATTTGTTGTAACGAGAAGGGAAGAGAGGTGTTAGAGAGTGAGAGAAGTTTCTAGAGACATTCCCAATACGAAAAATGAAAAGAGAATAAAGAAAAGAAGCTCATTGGAATACCATTTTGTAGTCCTTAGAGTAAAGACATTCCCAAACCACAAAATGATCAAAAGAGAATAAATAAAAGAAGCTTACTGATTACCATTTTGTTGTAAGAGAAGATCCAAAACTAAGTCTTTCTCCGCCCCCTATTTATGAGTAGGAGGAGGAGTTTGGAGTTCCCACTTGTTATTCTCCACCTCCATTTTCCCTATATAGAACTATAGATACAAGTGTGTGTTTGCCTACTACTCATTATCTGTTTGTTGTAGATAGAGAGGTATACACGCACAGAGAGAGAGAGAGAGGAATGGGTAGGGGAAGAGTGGAGTTGAAGAGGATAGAGAACAAGATTAATCGTCAGGTGACTTTTTCTAAACGAAGGAATGGTTTGCTCAAGAAAGCTTACGAGCTCTCTGTGCTTTGTGATGCTGAGGTGGCTCTCATCATCTTCTCCAGTCGTGGCAAGCTCTATGAGTTCGGTAGTGCTGGGTAGCTCCTCTCTCTCTCTCTCTCTCACACACACACACACACACATATAAACATGGTTCATATTGGTTTTTAATTGTTTTGTTTATTTCTTACCATAATTTGGTTTGTGAAGCTATGAGTCTTTTAGATCAACCAAAACTCGGAACAAAAAGATTTTCTTTGATCAGAAATTGCATGTTTATTAGTGTTTACTCCACATATCTTTGAATGTTTGGTTCTTGAGATGTTTGTCTCATTTAGATCACCTGAAAACTTCGACAAATGAAGTTTCTCTTGATAATAGATTAGTTTCTCTCTCTCTCTCTCTCTCTCTCACACACACACACACACAGCAGAAGACTTTCAACTCTTTACTCTAACTCTCTCTACTTTGTGCCTGTTCTGTGGTTCTGAATTCTGATAATTTTCATCCGCATTTATGGCTTCAATCTTGATCTTTTCTCTATTGATTTGCCAATAACAGATCGACACGTTTCAAAGTTTTGCAAGTCTCATCTGAAAGATCAGAGAATGACTGACTAGCTTTGAGGAAGTGCCCAGGAAAAACTTCCCCTCTTGGACCTCTGTGCAAGATCTAGGGTTTTCACCTTTTTGTTCCTCTCCCAGTCCAAGAAAAACCCTTTTTGTTTCTCTCTCTCTCTCTCTCAAAGCTTCACAGTATTGGTTGGTGGGTGCTAGAATGAAGCACTTGAAAGTCCAAAGGACCAAACATTTAAAAGCTTTTTAAACGTTGTCTCCTTCTCTTTTCCTCCTAAGATCTTGTGGTTTTTTCACTGGCTTGGGGTTCTCATTCTTTCTCCAAACTCGCCTTCAATCATAACCTTTCCCTATATACATTATCCAGTGCTACTTGTATAGAAAGGCTTATTAATAAAAAAAAGTGGTTGTATATATGAAGAGGGGTAGTGGTATAAACTCAATAATTGCAAGATCTCAGGCTTCTATATTCAGACACAGCTAGCATATTATGGTGATACTTTTTCTCTGTACAATGAGGGTTTCTTTGGCCATATCAAGCTCTCAATCAAGATTTTTGTGTTTCTTTTAGCTCTCTCTCTCTCTTCACGTGGTTCTAGGGAGAATGAAACACACAAGTACTCGGCTTTTTGTAAGGTAGAGCAATTTCCTTTTTGTATAAGTGGTGATATGTCATCATGAACAAGGTCCCAAAACAACTGAATGTCCTTGAATTGAAGGGCGATGTCAAGCCCTTATATTTCCATCGATTCTTGGCTTCATATCTTAGCTTATGTTTGTATCATGTTCAAGAGGTGGGTTACTTTGGAATGACTGACAATTAATAAACATGGCCAAAATCATTTAAATTTACTTTTTCTATCAGAGAAAATATTTTTATTGATANGCTTATGTTTGTATCATGTTCAAGAGGTGGGTTACTTTGGAATGACTGACAATTAATGAACATGGCCAAAATCATTTAAATTTACTTTTTCTATCAGTGAAAATATTTTTATTGATCAAAAAATTGGGAATATCAAATAGTTTAGGACATAACCTTTTTAGTAGTCATATTTATCCCCCACTTGTTATTCGAATAGACAAATATCTATACTTAACATGTTCGGATTTAGGAGGATGCTACCTAGTTTCTCGCATTCTGAGAATGCAATCTATATTGTAGGTTAAGAGTAGTGTGTATTGTAACCTTCCAGAAAGAAAAAGAGTATGTGTATTGTCAGCAATTCTATTGAGAGTATGCTCAGTGTAGCCTTAAAGCAGGTATTGAACTATGTTGTGTATATTGTTTTTTCTTTGTTTTTGTCGACNAACCTTCCAGAAAGAAAAAGAGTATGTGTATTGTCAGCAATTCTATTGAGAGTATGCCCAGTGTAGCCTTAAAGCAGGTATTGAACTATGTTGTGTATATTGTTTTTTCTTTGTTTTTGTCGACATATATGCACATCCAGTGTTTGTGTTCTTGTATGGACACATATGTTTGTTCCACCACAAATAATCACCCCTTATAGTATTGACATTTCATATCAAATTTTCATCTTCTTGTTTCTTCACATCATAATTATATGGTGGTTGTGGACAAAATCAGTTACAGTCCTAGTTTGTAGTTTTCGATTATCAATCTGCATTTTGCCAAAGCTCCAAGTATGCTGGTTCTAAATTGAGAGAAGATAAACCATCCTTTGGAAACACTTTTTTTCAAAAAATAGAAAAATTCTAAATATCAAAAGGCATATATATACATGTGTCGGGGTGATACCCTCATAAAATATAATCGGTATCACCTATTATAACTTTGCAACCAGAGCTCGAAGGGTGTAGAATTCTGAAGGAAATAAATGTCTTGAGTTGAGCCGATACTTTCCTCAGAATTCTATGGCAAAAGAGCTCTGAAAACACTATACTTGTGAGGACATGATGTTAATAAAAAACAAAACCAAAGCAAAGGGATCATTATAGTTTCAAATACTTTTGTACATGAATCCTTTTTCGGCTAAATAGAATTCATCTTATTTAACGGGAAAAAAAAATCGAGGGAAATAAAGGTATAATTATGTGTTGTTAGATAGGGTCTCTTCAATTGAATGTGTATTTTTTTAGATGCTGTAAACACAAGAAAGAGTAATGGTTTTATTTGTTAAGGCTGAGAACTTTTATTTTCTCTACTCACTGTATATATGTAATTGTTACTGGAAATTGGTGAGAAACATCACTATATATATCTATTAATATATAGAAGCTATGCAGAACCTGTTTAGTTTATGTCATCTATATAACTGCCTACAAATGCCGAGAGCTCTATGGATGAAGAAAAATAATAAAGAGTAACCCTTGTGGGCATTTGGTCCGTCGATGTAGGCCTTTTGGGCCAAATCACGTTAGTTTGTTTGTGTTCTTGATCTTCCATTCCACTCTTTTCTCTCTCATTTTTTACAAAATTTATCAATATCTCTCCCCTTTAAAATATTGTGTCTTGCAACTCTGGCTACTGGTAATTCAACTAGGATAAAGAAAGGTTGAGTTTTAACATGTAATAGTGAAATTATTAGAGAAGATATGTGATATCATGTTGTGACACAAACACAATCGATTTGACACCAATGCGACCTGATCATTGACAGTTAGATTACGGAAAAAGACATATCTATACATCCCTAGCATAATGCATCATTCTTTATCTTTTCTCGTCTTTGTAAAGGTTAGATTTTTTGTAATTGCACCAAGCAAAGCTATGTTTACATATTGGTTGCTATTTCCAATTAATGTTCTTATTTGTTTGTAGCACCACAAAAACCCTGGAGCGTTACCAACGTTGTTGCTTTAATCCTCAAGAGAGCAGTATCGAACATGAAACACAGGTACGAGTTTGATACTTGAGTTTGAGCTTTGTTCGATTTATTACTAATATAGAAACTTGAAAATGCATTCCCAAATGCAGAGCTGGTACCAAGAGGTCTCAAAATTGAATGCAAAGTATGAAGCACTTCAACGTACTCAAAGGTTATGCAACTGATTGTTTCTGACTATATTCTTGTTATGTTTTATTTTTTCCTGATTTACTTTCTTGCATATTCGCTTTGTTTCTATGATCAAATCTTCATATGCAACCAAAGCAACAGCTATTGCAGATAGTTATACAATTGTTAGCTACATGTAATACTAGCCTACAAGCAATGAAGCCACCCTCAAGTTTTCGAAAAAAATCCCTCATTTCGTCGAGTTATGTTTTGAAACTGAGTCAAAAATCGTGGATTACTTGGTGAAATTGAGTTGAAATTCTTGGATTATTTGATGAATTTGTGCTGAAAATGTTAATCATGTCATGAAATTGAGTTGAATGTGATTGTATTCGAGCAGTTATGTGATAATATTGAGCTAAAATTATTTGTTATTTGATTAGTCGATCCAAATTTTTTTTTTTTGCATGTAACTCGACAAGTTTAAATAATTTTTTTTTATTTTTATGTAATAGTTGAGTTGATTTTTAAGTGTAAGTGTGTGTGTGTGTGGTGCTATGATACTTACATTTTAACTGCCTAAATTTTTTAAGGCATTTGCTGGGAGAAGATCTTGGACCACTGAGTGTGAAGGAGCTGCAAAATCTTGAGAAACAGCTGGAAGGGGCACTGGCACAAGCTAGGCAAAGGAAGGTACTTGAAAATAGTTGTATTTGTTCGTAGTTTTGGATGAGAAAATTTTTGGATATAGATGCACCTAATTATTGTTTTAACAACCAAAGAAAATTTACACTTGTTTACGTGGGTAAGGTTTAAATGTACTGTGGGTGTAGTTGCACATCATTAATTTTTTCATTTTGATCGTTATAGATGTCTTGTATTTTGCTCGAACTTGCACTCAATCGGACATAAACCCACTAATGTGGGTTTATAATGGCAAAGATGAGCAGTTTTCTCTCACTTTCATTTTGAAAACTTTGTAAGAGTCATAGTTTACAGTGAATTTTTAACGATTTGCTTCACAGTGGACGTATGCTTTCGAGTTGAATCCTGTAATCTTGTGGCCTCGGTGTTTCTATGTTTCATTTTGTTGTATGTTTATGATCTCATACCTAGCTATAAGCCTATAACTACAAAAGTCGTGAAAGAATGGATTTCGTTTCAGATTTTGAATGAGATTTTACCGGTCCAAGTTGGTCTACATGCACGTCAAGTAAAATGACTAGATTCCAATGTGCATTACGTAATTTGTGAGCAACATTTCAAGATGGACAGTAATTTTGTTCCTTTTCCTTTATGGCTTCAATGCAGACACAGATAATGGTAGAACAAATGGAAGAGCTCCGCAGAAAGGTAACCGAAATCCTTTAGTCCTGCTGATCTTGTAGTTCATACTTGGTTGATGAAGTCGAGTTGACTGGACTTACGTGAGAAGTTAAGAAGGTCGATTGAAGTAATTTGGACTTGTTTACTATTGCACTAGTAAATGAAAGTGCGTAAATACCTATTGACGGTAATATAATCATCTATGGTTGAATAAGACGACGGTACAAAGAAGGTAAGGTAACTTGTGGTTTCATAGAACATTGGACTGAAAAACTGAATTGTTTATTTTGACATAGTAGCAGTTACCCCATTTTATGACATCCATTGCACCGATGGTCTCTGCTGCAGGAATTAGGCTCCATAGCTTTTATTATACTGGAGAAAAATTCCTCAAATTTTAATGTATACCCTTTTTTTTTTCGCTAAGTAAGATCAATTCCATAAAAACTGAAAGTTTCAAAGAGATGGTTGATCTTCTGAAATAAGAGAATAGAAGATCCTCCATCCTTATAGCAAAAGGATACATTGTAATTTCATATTCCAAAAGGATCAAAAAGAAAAAGTGTCAAGATAAAGCATACCCTTTCCTTGCTCAGTTATTCTGGATTTTATAGGGAAGTGATCGCTCAAGGCCTATACTTCCCTCATAATTCAGATGAGTTCTTTGATCGATAGAATTTGTTTACTATTCCAATAACACTTAAAAACGGGTTGAATTTTGTATTTCCATCTAGTTGGGGGCAATGTTCTCAAATATCAGTTGAGGTTGTATAGAATTATTTCTCGATTTGTGCGTGCCATCGTTGCGCAGGGTCATACTAATCTTTTATGTATCGTTCCAATTTTACCGGCTGTCCAAGGACAGTTGATGTTGTATAGGCCATTTTAATTACCATCCTCTTGCAAGCCTTTCATTGCAATAACATTGACAGTGTGTGGCCCTATTGGTTTTAACGGCAGGAACGTCAGCTTGGAGACATGAACAAACAGCTGAAGATTAAGGTTTCATTGGAATCATCACAGGTAAATCCAAAACAATATAAGTGTCATCGTTGCCTCCTGGTGAGAAATTCCTAAACCAAGGTTTTTCCAATGTCTGTGTTTCCATGTTGCAGTTTGAGGCAGAAGGACAAGGTTTCAGAACCCTTCCATGCCCGTGGAATAATTCATCAACTGGAAACAGCAACTTTCCTATGCACCCTTTGCAATCCAATCCCATGGACTGCCAACCCGAACCTGTCTTACAAATAGGGTACTCTATCTCTCCCTCTCTCTCACTTTCTACTGTGGTACGCTCGATAGAAAATTAGTAGGCTAAGATTGATTAGTTCTGACTGGCACAAACCCAAAAATAACATGACATGCTAAAACAAATAGTAAATGAGTAAGGTAATCTCCAACATGAATAACTTGATTTTGATACTACAATCTTGTTTACGTGAAATTATATAATATATTATATTTGAATTCTTGATTAGGTATCGAATGAGTTCTTATCGACTTAGAGATTTTCAACTTAATTTGTCGGGCATATGAGTGGTGTGATTGATTGAGAGAAAAAGAATCTGAGTCTTAGTTTTTTGGTTCATGGATTATACATGTTAATCCGTACGCAACATAATTAATAAACACGTGGGTAATTGTTGAGAAATCTAATTTGATTAGTTAAAAGAGTAGAGTTACAAATAAGTACTACTTGACACTAATTAGAAACAGTGTGATCCAAATATGATACGACCTTACACAATTATTTGCCCTAAAAGAAACCTTGTGATGCATTAATTGTAGAGATGTTCAAATATGACACGACCCTTTTAACACGACATGAAATTAGAGGTTTTGAGCCTTTTTTAAACCACTCGCTTAGTAAACGAGTGAACCAAACACGACATGATTAATAAATTAATCTGATATGAGTGAAATCAATCAAAAGAAATATATGACATGACTCATTTATATACCAGTTATTTACCGTTCATATACGATATGAACTCGATATAACACAATTCGTTAGACACGAATTAATAAACGAGTTGAAAATGGATGAGATATTTTTTTCACATGAACTCAATAAGACTCGACACGAATCCACCTCAGTCGACAAGGCTAATTAATTGCTCTTAAAACAGGTATCAACACTATTTTCCAGCCGAAGGATCATCTATACCAAGGAATATGGCCAGCATGCAGGGTTGGGTTCTTTGAAGTTTGAACTGATTCATATATATGTGTATGGGTTATACAATCATCTAATTAGCTTGCTTTTTGAGAAGCTTTGCATTGTTGGAGACTTACGCTAAATGCTTGAATCCTTCTATGGCATTGATTTCATGGGGGATGGTATATATGCTTAGCAATTTAAATGTGTCAATGTCTAATATTTTCTCAGTCCTTCCAAAAAAACCAAAGAAAACCTAAAATTAATATAGAAATATTTATTTGGTTTCCTCAAACTCGAGATGCATTAATAACTCACATCAAATCCATTATGTTTGTAATAGAGAAGACAAATCTAACCATAGGTTCTTAGTTTACGGATTATGCGTGTTCATCCAAACAGAACACGATAATAAATTGTTTGAGTTATTGTCAGAAATTAGAAGATTTGATATGAAAAATTAAATGCGCCGAATTATGGTTGATAAGTATTTAAAATAAATTCGAAATAACATGGCCCGAACCCAAACAATACAATTCGATCGTTACCCCTAGATTACAAGTGTGACCAGGATGGGCTAGAAACTAGAAATTTAAATTGCATAGTCTATAATATGGTGTAATTTATATACAATTTTTTTAATTAAAAGCCCTAATTTTGCAACAAATTGAGTCATCTATTAAACGAGTAATCGGGTGGTAAATTAATAATTGAGTGATATATCAATTTATTAAACAGACAATCAAATGATAAACGATTTAGGGTACTCCACTAAAACACGGCTCGTCTATTATGCTAGTCAATCGGGTCCACCTATTTCTCACTCAAATTCGTTAATTTCGTATCTATTGAGTAATGGGTTCATGTTAAAAATGCATTGTCAATCCTTTTTTTAAAGGAAACAACGTGTGTAAACGTAAGCATAGAAAGCCCGATATGGTGGACCATTGAACTCCATGAAAATTGAAAGCCGTGTCTCCGCCTGANAATAAGTACTACTTGACACTAATTAGAAACAGTGTGATCCAAATATGATACGACCTTACACAATTATTTGCCCTAAAAGAAACCTTGTGATGCATTAATTGTAGAGATGTTCAAATATGACACGACCCTTTTAACACGACATGAAATTAGAGGTTTTGAGCCTTTTTTAAACCACTCGCTTAGTAAACGAGTGAACCAAACACGACATGATTAATAAATTAATCTGATATGAGTGAAATCAATCAAAAGAAATATATGACATGACTCATTTATATACCAGTTATTTACCGTTCATATACGATATGAACTCGATATAACACAATTCGTTAGACACGAATTAATAAACGAATTGAAAATGGATGAAATATTTTTTTCACATGAACTCAATAAGACTCGACACGAATCCACCTCAGTCGACAGGGCTAATTAATTGCTCTTAAAACAGGTATCAACACTATTTTCCAGCCGAAGGATCATCTGTACCAAGGAATATGGCCAGCATGCAGGGTTGGGTTCTTTGAAGTTTGAACTGATTCATATATATGTGTATGGGTTATACAATCATCTAATTAGCTTGCTTTTTGAGAAGCTTTGCATTGTTGGAGACTTACGCTAAATGCTTGAATCCTTCTATGGCATTGATTTCATGGGGGATGGTATATATGCTTAGCAATTTAAATGTGTCAATGTCTAATATTTTCTCAGTCCTTCCAAAAAAACCAAAGAAAACCTAAAATTAATATAGAAATATTTATTTGGTTTCCTCAAACTCGAGATGCATTAATAACTCACATCAAATCCATTATGTTTGTAATAGAGAAGACAAATCTAACCATAGGTTCTTAGTTTACGGATTATGCGTGTTCATCCAAACAGAACACGATAATAAATTGTTTGAGTTATTGTCAGAAATTAGAAGATTTGATATGAAAAATTAAATGCGCCGAATTATGGTTGATAAGTATTTAAAATAAATTCGAAATAACATGGCCCGAACCCAAACAATACAATTCGATCGTTACCCCTAGATTACAAGTGTGACCAGGATGGGCTAGAAACTAGAAATTTAAATTGCATAGTCTATAATATGGTGTAATTTATATACAATTTTTTTAATTAAAAGCCCTAATTTTGCAACAAATTGAGTCATCTATTAAACGAGTAATCGGGTGGTAAATTAATAATTGAGTGATATATCAATTTATTAAACAGACAATCAAATGATAAACGATTTAGGGTACTCCACTAAAACACGGCTCGTCTATTATGCTAGTCAATCGGGTCCACCTATTTCTCACTCAAATTCGTTAATTTCGTATCTATTGAGTAATGGGTTCATGTTAAAAATGCATTGTCAATCCTTTTTTTAAAGGAAACAACGTGTGTAAACGTAAGCATAGAAAGCCCGATATGGTGGACCATTGAACTCCATGAAAATTGAAAGCCGTGTCTCCGCCTGATCATGAAGCCCCAAAAATAGTAGGAGCAAGACCAGATGGATGGGCTTATATAACAAGGCTGGCCCATATCCATCATCAAATCATATACTCCGGTATTATTTGTGGGTTCCACCATGAATAGTGGGTCATTAAAATGTGGAAAAAAAACAATAAATTAGAAGGGGATACATTAAATTGAATTTAATCATAAAGAAANAATATATGACATGACTCATTTATATACCAGTTATTTACCGTTCATATACGATATGAACTCGATATAACACAATTCGTTAGACACGAATTAATAAACGAGTTGAAAATGGATGAGATATTTTTTTCACATGAACTCAATAAGACTCGACACGAATCCACCTCAGTCGACAAGGCTAATTAATTGCTCTTAAAACAGGTATCAACACTATTTTCCAGCCGAAGGATCATCTANTAAAGAAATCCTTAATTTTAGATATTAATTGTGTACAACTACATAATTTGAAATTTTTAGATTTTTCTTTGACATTTGTGTCCTCCCTTAAATCATGCGATTATTTTTTAAATTATATTAATGCATTAAAAATATACTAATTTAATGAAAGATTTGATTCTTTCATTTATTTTGAGGATAAATTAGNTAGGTTCTTAGTTTACGGATTATGCGTGTTCATCCAAACAGAACACGATAATAAATTGTTTGAGTTATTGTCAGAAATTAGAAGATTTGATATGAAAAATTAAATGCGCCGAATTATGGTTGATAAGTATTTAAAATAAATTCGAAATAACATGGCCCGAACCCAAACAATACAATTCGATCGTTACCCCTAGATTACAAGTGTGACCAGGATGGGCTAGAAACTAGAAATTTAAATTGCGTAGTCTATAATATGGTGTAATTTATATACAATTTTTTTAATTAAAAGCCCTAATTTTGCAGCAAATTGAGTCATCTATTAAACGAGTAATAGGATGGTAAATTAATAATCGAGTGATATATCAATTTATTAAACAGACAATCAAATGATAAACGATTTAGCGTACTCCACTAAAACACGGCTCGTCTATTATGCTGGTCAATCGGGTCCACCTATTTCTCACTCAAATTCGTTAATTTCGCATCTATTGAGTAATGGGTTCATATTAAAAATGCACTGTCAATCCTTTTTTTAAAGGAAACAACGTGTGTAAACGTAAGCATAGAAAGCCCGATATGGTGGACCATTGAACTCCATGAAAATTGAAAGCCGTGTCTCCGCCTGATCATGAAGCCCCAAAAATAATAGGAGGAAGACCAGATGGATGGGCTTATATAACAAGGCTGGCCCATATCCATCATCAAATCATTTACTCCGGTATTATTTGTGGGTTCCACCATGAATAGTGGGTCATTAAAATGTGGAAAAAAAACAATAAATTAGAAGGGGATACACTAAATTGAGTTTAATCGTAAAGAAGTACACATAAAAAAATATAAAATAAAGAAATCCTTAATTTTAGATATTAATTGTGTACAACTACATAATTTGAAATTTTCAGATTTTTTTTTGACATTTGTGTCCTCCCTTAAATCATGCGATTATTTTTTAAATTATATTAATGCATTAAAAATCTACTAATTTAATGAAAGATTTGATTCTTTCATTTATTTTGAGGATAAATTAGTTGGTTTGAATTTTAAATTTTACAACAATATCATTTGTTGTCTTCTTTTTCTTCGACCTAGAAGCAATTTATCAATGCAAGTCCGAAACATTATTTTTATCCTTATAATTCAATTTAAGCAATTACAGTGTTTGAATTCATGACTCCATAAGGTTTATGTTTGTCATTGTAAAGGTGATTATATTATTTTTTTATATGCGACCACTATAGCTGAAGTTCATCTTGTATATACGTTTACAGTATAACAATAACAGTGTAAAAATTTACTATACAAAATACTGTACTGTTACATTTTATCAAACATATATTTGCATATAACTGCATTATAATAGTCCAACTCTGTTTTGAATTTTTTATCACATCCACAAAATCACTTAACACTATCTGTATTTACAGTATTACACTGTATTGTTACATTGTCTTTGTTACACTATGCAAAAAACATAAACGAACTTATATCTACAATGGTAGACCAGTAGAATTTTCCTTTCAAAGACGAAACCCTGTAGATGTTCAGGAAACTATTTAGGACTTCTCGCTGAGGAAGATGAAGCAGTTTTTTGGATAAGAAGAAGAAGTGGTAACTATTTTTCGAAGATGAAACTTTTCGCAAATTAATATTCCTAAAATCCAGCAGTTAAGCTTTATCAATGTGCACCTAATTAATTTTGAGATATATTCCTAAAACTGTTTTTAGGAAAGTAATGTTCCTAAAATCCAGCGGTTAAGCCTTATCACTGTGTACTTAATTAATTTTAAGATATATTCCTACAACTTTTTTTAGGAAAATAAATTTTAAAAAATTGGCAATTAAATCTTTGTATCTCAACAGTATATTTTTTTACAATTATGTCTAATTTAGTATACCAACTTTCGAATGACCCCGAAGGATCAGTTACAGCAGGACTCTAGATATTTGTGAATGAACCTTATTTATATGGATTTAGATTCTCTCAAATTTTATTAATTTTAGGGTAAAAAAATTCTTATA